AGCCAGGGGTGGTCCTCTGCTGGGTGTCTGCACCTGCATTGAGCAAGGCCTTGACCATGTCAAGACGACAATTAAAAGATGCCACACTCAAAAGGGAAGGTTCGTCACCAAGTTCAGGACTGGCAAGGGAATAAGGTTCCAAGTCACGGCCCTCAAATGTTGTATTGGGATCAATTGGCATCCGTAAAAGCATTTCAAATTCCATCCCCTCGTCTTGGAAAATGGCCTCGAGAACTTCGGCTCTCAAGTCAGGGTCAACCTCAACGAAAGGGAGGATCACTACCTGAAGATCCGACGGCCTTGGCAAGTGTGAGACTTTTTGGTGATCACTTAAGGTTTCACCCTTGAAGAGCAGCCGCTGCCTGTGGATGCTGGCATCCACCAAAGGCTCGCAGAAATATTTCAAGCCCCTCACACAATTTCCGTAGTCACCGATGAGACTTTCGATGGTGTGCTCATCCAGTGCTACAACCTCTTCTCCGGAGATTTTGTGAATGTGGATCATGGCAAAGCCGATCGCAGAAGACACTGCAGAAGCTGCGGTAAGCAGTAAACCTGTCATAACCTGTCGCTGTCCAACATTGGTCCAACATCCGACATAAAAGCTGGACTATCTTCGCGCACCCTCATGCAAATGTCAAAGCACGGCAATTAGAACCGCAGAAGAACATGCTATAAAGGTGTTTTGTCAGCAAGCCAGGGTGGGGTCAGGCCGGGACTGCCGGGACTAGGCGAGTGATAGGGTTGTGCTATGTTGCGTTTATTGTTGCAACATGTCACATAAGGATGATGCCGGAACTTTGCTTTGCGGAGGGGTGGGTACCATTGTGGCGACATTATCGACATTTAGGTTATCAAGATGATCTGCCTTTCGTGGAAACTCACTTCCTGTGAATCTTTTGGACGCCTCTTTTTGGCAGCCTCGGGGCAACCTTAGACCACAGAAGGACATTGTCCTTGGACATTTTGAGTGTGCAGCATTGTTCTGCCCAGTAAAACTACGACGGCTTGCAGTCCGTGGGTGTTGCATGTTTCATCATTTGCTACGCTGATGTTTGGTCGATGAGTTGTGCAAACCACCAATGCTCTGGAACAGTGGGCGTTGCATTGATTGCAACAAAAATGCAGTGATGGATTTGAGCACGCTTTGTTGTTGACTGCGGACATTAAGGCCGGACCATTTAGCGCATCTAGGACCGCTGCGATCTAGAGCTGACATCGTGCAAGATGTTGCTATTGAGGGTGGGGTGGGGAGAGATTATCTTTCTGAACTCCCCGGTCTTCTGAAGAGTTGGTTTGAGGAAGGCGTTGAATGTGTAGACCTGCTACAAGAGCCAGTAGAACCTCCTCCATGAATTGCGGACATGTGGCGAAGTCTCAGAGATACAACGCATATCAGTTTGACAAACACATTGGTTCAATATCCTAGAACTGCTTGCATCATTCAATGCAACAAGCTTGTGAGCTTCAAATCCAAGTATATTATATCTATGTTTATTTGTGCGACATGCATATACTATGTAAATGTCCAAGCACCGAAGAATCCCTGTCTCAACTTCCCCCCCCACGAGGTCGCAGAACCGACAAACCGACACGGTCGGACCAGGCCAAGGCGCATGAGGAGCATGCTCCATGGGTTCGGAGGGCTTGGTGGAATCCAAGGCCTAAAGTTGCCACAAAAATGGCACCAAGAAGGCCTCATCGTTTGCTCCTTTGCTCCCTAGCTTCTTGTTCCTAGTAGTAAGGCCAGGAGCCCCGTTCGTAGCGTCCGATCTCATAATGTAGACATGTATATAGACTCTTGATGATATTTCTATCCCGCCGAGCCTCAAGAGGCTGTTCAACCCATTATTGGAATCAGGAGTGAAGAGCCTACAATACGCATCAACCTCCTGACATCTCAACACATTGCTGGCTTTTGACTTAGACTTTGAGGCCCTGACAGCCTGCACAGCATCCATCAAAACCTCTGGTCAGCTGGCTAAAGCGGGTGGAAGCGGCCCCCCATCTCAGTCGCAGGCCTTCTTGTAGCTCTGATGTTTGTGCCATTTTGCTTCACCCTCATCCACCTGCAGCAAGGTAAATGCTCGAAAAAGCTGATTATTATACTTACACCTGACTTTACACCTGTTAATTGTGTTAAGTTATAAGTCAAGTGCAATTCTGCTCTGCGGTGTGAACATCAATTTCACACACAACGAACTTCTGAGTGCCATCGCCTCTCATTACATCTCATTTCAACCAACAACCATTCATCGCAGGCGGACCCCACCTCCTTCCGAAACTCTGCGGTGCTCCTCAAAAGACCTGAGAGCTCCCGCTCGGCCTGAGAAAAAACGGAAAGCGCTAGCAGCGGCTAGGGCCATTCTGCTCCCACTGTCGCTTCATAAACAAAGAACGACTTGCAACTTGCAACCAATTCTTTAAAAAATATCAACACCTGAGCTGGTGATGCTCTGCTTCAGTCTTCCCAAAGCGATGGAATGATGAGGGGTAGTTCCCAAAGTACGTGCAGCAACAACGACAACCACAAGCTGTGGGATTTTGAGCAATATACGTGTGCTGCGTCAATCGGCATCGTGTCACACGATCGGCCTCCGCGATGCGATGCCGAAACTCCTTCACATCCAACTGCGTCTGCTCATCGAAGCGTTGGAGCTCGGCCTGGACACCAGTCACTCGGTTCAGCGAAAGCACAGATCCATGGTCCCATGATGTCCCATGGACCCCTTCACCCGATGTCCACCGATGGTCCATGGTCCATGGATGTCCATGGCATGTTCTTCGCACAGCTTCGCGCCTTCACCTGCCGCAGCTCCTGGTAGGGCACTTCGATGGGAGCCGAGAGGGGCGCATCGCTGCTGGAACCTGATTGCGGCATGGCGGTGTCTTGAAGAATCTGCTGACACATGAGTGTCCAAGTGATATCCAGTGTTACGATGCTTCGAGAATCCCAACCTGATTTGGCGATCTTCTGTTCCAGTGAACCATGGTGACATGGTGACACAGACTTTTGGCCCAAAGGCGCCTCCGCGGGGCATATTTTCACTCCTGGAACTGCTTTGATGTAGGAAAACACGCATTCAAATTCTTGGCTGGAACTAACGGTGCAAGATTAACTATTTGACTATTTGATACTTGTTTGAACATGTGGCATGAAAGGTGGTGGCCTTCTATGAGTTCTTGATGCAACTGATTCTATTCTGTCTGAATCTATTGGAGTGCGACACAACACCTATAGCATCCTATAGCGTTGTTTCGAGTCGTACAGGGCAGTTGAGCCAACACCCGAGTTCGGCAACGGCATTCTGAGCGGTCTCCTAAGGCTGTTGGCATCAACCAAGAAGCCTCAAATTCAGGAGGTGTGAAAGATCAGTGGAAGATAGATGGCACAAACATTCCGATGAGCTCAGCAAAGAGGATTCGGATTGTCATTCTTCTGATCCTTTCCAAGCAGGAGGAGAAAGAAGCATCTCCAAAATAAATGGCACCTCTCAACAGCCTCCCAGATACAGCCAAATACAGCCAGGAGGCAGCTTCTTTCAGGACTTCGTTCCAATCCCGCAGGCCTTGGACTAGAAGGGCACGCACGGCCTACTGTCTCAAGTCTACTTGGATTACAAGGGCACATCGTCCCATGGGAGAGTTTCCAAAGTCGCAACTCAGTTGGAGACAAAGGCTCCAAATTATCTCCGGCCTGGACATGAAACAAATAAATAAGGGTCTCGGAGCAAAAGGCTACCCTTGCTTTCTCATGCCACGTCCTCATAGTATATGTTTCCCTGGATGGCCATGCTGCACCAATTTGGCTTCAGTTCCTTCTAGCAATCTGTACAGAGGGCCACGTTTTTGCAGCCCAAGCGGGAGTTTGCATCAGCTGAAGACAGCTCACCTGGCACAAGCTGCACGCAGTCACTACACTGACACGGGCCACTGGACTGGAAAGCCCTTATAAACAAACTTGGGTCGCCTCGATCGCCTTGTCTTGGTGTTGCTACATCATTGGTCAAACCCCTCTTGTGAAGTTGCTTACGTGACTAAGAACAACTCCAACAAGTGCGATTTCCGACCCCCAGAACCAGCCACACGGTTTAAGCTCGAGCAGAAAGGCCTACTGTATCATTCTGCAGTCTAGCCTCAAAATCCCTGCCTTGCGTCACCAGATGTCATCTTTTTGGGGGGACTTGGATGAAGTTGATTGATTCATATTGATTGGTTAGATTCTATGTGACTTTTCCCATTGAATCAGTTACACACGTGCGTGGTAAGCTACTTCACCATCCTGAACCTAAAAACAAAACGTCGTGAAGTCCCAAGTCGGATCGATGTGTATATATATAGTATATATACAACTGTGCACACATACAATCACATACACATACAAAGAAGCAAGAAATTGACATGGACATCTTCCGGCCTCTACCAACCAAAACTGGTGGCAATACGCGCGAATCGGCGATTCCCTCTTCGGCCTGTTGAAAGTCGTCAGCTGAACGTGGCATCCGAGAGCGAAGACATGCTTCTTGTTTTGGTGCTCCTAAGAATCGTCGTGTTGTTGTTGTTGTGGCTATTTAGTTCATATAGAGTGGACACCTAGAGTTTGGGGGCTTTCAACATTTCAAGAGGGACATGGCGCAGCTCTGGAAGCTCCGGGCATTCAGACATCTCATGACGATCTTGAGAGTAGAGCTTCACACCTCAGTAACACTTGGACAACTTGTATATGCAAACTTTCTGGTGCACTTGGCTCTAAATGTGAACATGATGCAACACTTGGCCAACAATGCGTGCCGCTGGACCTGATCTCTTTGTGTTCAATTGTCAGCTTTGCAACGCCGTCTTGAACCTTCTTGTTAAAAGTAGAAGGCCACAAAACGGCGGATTGACATGACTCTGCTCCCATGCTGCACCGTCTGTACTAAAGTAAAACTTGGCGCGGGGGTGGAAAATAACGTCGTGCATGCTGTTTGTCGGGTTGTATTCAACAACGCCCTCCTTGATTACTTCCATTCACGGGCTTTGTTGCTGAGTTCTTCGTGCACATCCTCGAAGCCATGATCTTGATGTAAGCGATCTGGATCCTCGGCCCAGCACATCAAAATGGCCTTCGTCCCACTACTCATGATTCCCATGACTCCTCCACCTGAGATCAACCCGGTCAGCGATCCAAGGAGGCTGCAAAGACCAATGATGTCTGCCTTAGACAGTTGTTGACCAGCATCCGTGGCAGCCAAGCAGGCGGCGAGAGCTGCAAGGCCAGCTCCAGCAATGGCGCTAAGGATGGATCCCAGCATCACAACCCGATCAATCAGCAGGTCTCCAATAACGGCCTTCATCCCGCTGCAAGAGATCATCGCACAGGTGCCCTTCACGGAATCGCAAAACGTGCCGCCACGGATGGCGCACAGCACAAAGACCCATTGATTGAAGTATTCCATCAAATCACCAATGCAACTGAGAAAACATTCCAAAACGAGAGAAATCACACAGCCCACCATGTTGCCATCCTGTTGAGCCTGGCGTCGGCTACTTCGCACCGCAGTTTCCACAGTACTGATGGCGGCAATGATCAGGGTGCCTTGGCAAATGCTGCCAAACGAGGTTCCTAGAGCCACCTCCAGGGTAAGCCCGCATCAGAAGCCATGGTGCTACCAAGTTGGGCAACTGTTTACGTCATTATTGGGACTCTGAACTTGTAAGGCATCCGACGCAGGTTATTAAACAAACAGAAGACCTCTTGAAAAACACATGTGGCAATGCAAAGTCCAACCACTTACGGTAATGCTAGCGGATTTACAATGATTTACATGTCACATGATGGAAATTGTGATCTGCCACTTCCGACTGCTATCTTTGTCAAGGGGTCAACCAAGATTATCCCTGGACTTTTGAGCAACCTCACCTGAAGGCTTTTCAGAAGCGGCGCCCCTTCTTCCTCATAGTACCATCTGCTGAACACACCGCAGTAAGCCACGTGGCAAATGTTCTGGATAACTCCGCTGCCCCACACGCACACAAAGAAAAATGGATAGAATGCATCACTGCTTTCTTTGCCTTCACCATCTGACAAATTGCCGGTCAGCTTCAACTCGCAAGCTGCATAGGCAACAACCACCAAAATGACCCAAATTGGACCGAGCAAGCCCCCAAATGCAGAGATGGCCACCATTTCCAAGTTCTCACTGAAAGCTGCAGCCACCATCTGAGCAACTTCAATGGTGAAAGGAATGTAACGAGCCCAGCACCACATCACCAGCATGAACAAAAGCACCCCAACAAGGCAACAAATGAGGCCACCCTGAACACTACCAGCCACGAGCAACACGATCCCTACGAGCACAATGATGCTGGGCACGGTGTAGAGCGAAGTATAGACCACCGCACTGGCACAGGTTTTGGCGGCCAGGATCCACAAGGATGCCGAAATCAAGCCACCAAAAGCACCGGCAATACCTGCCAAAGACACTGCAAGGATGAGATGCTTTGCTTGAGACTTTGACAGGTGAATATTCTCAACCCCGTTTGGGCCATCTCGCTCGAATGGAGCTCCATCTCCTGACGAGATGGGCGCGTCATAGGATGGATCAGGAGACCCTCCAAAGCCGTCATCCACATACTGCACTGGTTCATATCCATCCACGTCACCCTGGAACGCCAAAACCCTGGGCTCTGCGGGCTCTGCGGACTGTTTTTTGGAGGTCGTCTATGGAAGTGGCACTGAACACAATGAGTGCAAGCACGGTGAGCAAAAAAAAGAATGACCCAGGGAAGGTCCACACAGCGCCTATTGGCTGGGAATCTGGGTGCTCTCTGCAAGAAGTTCACACCACTCCGGATTTCTTGCGCTCGACCTTCACGTCGCTTCTCTGGAAGGTCCTGTAGTTCTTTCAGGTTTTGGACGTCTATCTCCCTGTTGAACATCACTGTCCGAGAACTTGGCAAGTTCCCCGGCGCCAAATTCATGGGCCTTCGAATGACTGTGGTCCTTGATCAATTGAGCCGAAACAGGCACGCTTTTGAAACAGGGCATTCCGATTCAGGCGCTGGCTGCTTCAAGACTCAGTCTGCGCGTCTTTCAAGACTCAAACACTTAAGAATTCGATCTTGTGCTGAAATGTTGAGAACATGTCAACCCTCTTGTGCTCTTCCAATGAGTGGTGGCCCACAGGAAAGTCTAGTGTTGAAGCCAAAGGAAGCTGGAGACCGAACATGCGTTGAGAGGCCGAGGCGTGACAAAACGAGAACGATGCACAAGCTTCAGCAGTGTCGTGCCAAGTCTTGGTATACATGGTATACCACGGGTATACCTCTTCTCAGGCTTGCACACTGCGCTCCACACTGCGCTCGTGGAGACCGACTCAAAGAGGGTGTGCACTGGATCTGCCATACGCCCAGTCACAGTGATGCGATGGATTTATGTTGAGTCGCAAAAAGTTTCAAGAACCTTGAAGAGCAAACAGTCTCTACTGCCAAAAAACAACATGAGAGACAGCGGTCCAAACCAAAGAAACAATCTCAACTGATTCGTGGACACCTTTGTCCTGTTCAAGCTTGAACTGTAGGTCTAAGGTTTAGGATGGTTTAGGCCCTGTTGTTTGCATTTGCCTCGCAATCAGAAAGATGGAGGTCCAACAATTCAGCTGCTTGTGTGGCTTCATGGAAGCGCACTTCCATTGAGTAATGCAACTGTGGGTTGCGAGGCAGAGATTTCCAGAGGAAAGCCTTAGAAATCTCAAGAAGAAAGCATACTTATATACTTATAGCAGAATTCTGTGAATATGTCTTGTAAACGTCAGGTGATGGAAAGCGAACTACCTTGAATTGAATCCGCCAGCTCGATATCAGCTTTTCTGTTGCGATCTCAGCCCAATCGCCTTCGGCGATTGTAGCCTGGAAATCAACGCAAGCTTGGTTAACGCAAGCTTTGTGTTGTTGCTATGAACCCGAAAGGAGCGGCTTTGTGGCCACTAATCGCGCAAGTGAACACCACTTCAATGTCTGCACCATAATGCGCCTTGTCTTCGCAGCCCTGTTGGTCTCGGGTCAAGTGCAAAATCAGCTCTGCCTGGTAAGCCACCCTTGTGACAGCTCCATCCGGAAAGGTAACTGCGCAAGAGCCGGAGCCCTCCTTGATGCCCTTCATTTCTCTTGCTGTGTAATAGTATGTGCCTTCTAGCAGCTCCAAGTGTGTCTTCCAGGTCTTTGTCCACTGGCCTCTTGCTGGTAGCTTTTGGTCTGGATCAAACACAATGGCCTGGAGCTCGGGGTCAATGATATTGAAGTGTTGACCAGCCCGATCAAAGGGTGCGAGGCCGAGCGTCTCCGGAAATTCGGGCTCCACGCTTGGTATGATGCTGGCTGTGAGCGCAGACGCATCCAAAACAAAGATGTTCTTCTCCTTCTCGTAGTTCAAGTTCACCTCACCGATGTCAAGCTCGAAGTCCATGCTGATCGTATAATCAGTTCTATCGGTTTTGGGCCCATCGGTTTCAGCAAAGGAAATTTTTCCGTGTGTGTTCGCCTGGTAGCCAGGCTTAGGGCTCTTGTCTTCCAAGACCTTCTCGATGGTGTGAATCGCATCCCTCAAGTTTCGCCAACGCAGGTCATTTCTGTACATATCGGAAAACGTCACAACATCAACGATGTCTTTCAGCTTATCCAACCGTGGGCTTCCTCCGAACACGTCGTTCAGTTCGTTCCGGTCTCCACCCACGGCCTTGTGCATGAGGTCCCGCGACATCTCAGCAGCTTTGAGTAAGTCAGCTTCCGTACTCCTCAACTTTACCGCAGATCCCTGTACTTTTGCGAGTTTGGAGGCATGAAGTTCCAACTTCTCAATCAGGCCATCTACCTCGCCTGCGTACCCCATCCTCCAGGAACCCCTGAGGGCATGCAGCACATGGGACTTGAGCCAAGATTGTCAGCGAACGCCCTGACAGCAAAGCTCCTCAACTCACCTGGCGCTCACTACCTCACCTCTCCAACTCCCCGCCTCGCCGATGGCCTGTTGTCGCCGTCCTCCACATGTGGCGCGGTTGTGGCTCAGGAAACGCCTGAAGGCAGTTGTGCGTGCTGTGCTCCATCGATGTTGCTTCAAGAAACCTTTCTGAACAATCCTCCCACAGTCTCTCAAAAGTGACCAACTAATTATTATTGCCATTGCACAGGTGCAGGAGCCTTGTTATCCTGTCTCCTCTGATGTTTATTCCGCAGCCGCCTTAGCGATATCAGTCTGTCGGTATCATATTCCTTCCAAGAATTGCAATCCAAGCTCCCTGCGCTTTCACAATCGCACTTCGGTCACCGTCCCTCTGTAGTGTCTCATCTTGATCATGTTCGGGGCCTCCGCAAGTCCTGCAATGGATTTTGGGACGCCAGTTGTTCCATTCCCCGCGCCGAGCCCAGCAAGACTTGTGTTTTGTTTTTGTTTTGGACGATGTCAAAGCGGACATCTGCCCTCATTGGGGCAGGGAATCAAGAAACAAATGCAGAAATCCACCCTCTAAAAGCAAGGACCACAAGTCATGAATCAATTGAACTATATAATATAACAAAACGCTAACACGGAGAAATAAGGTGCTATTACATACGTCTCCTATCCTAAGTATTTGAACACCCAGGGAGCAATCTGAGATTCTACAATTCTACAAAGCCTGGCCAGTCCTTCCAAAGGTGAAACGCTGCCTGGCTGCGTGGTGCCATAGAAGGCAATAGCTGACGAGATTCCAAACGCATGCGGCAAATCAGCTGCATCTTTTCCTGAGATGTTTGTAGAAAAGGTCTGAAACTGAGGATGGCTTGGCAATGCTTGTCATCCGATCGTTATCATTCTTCTGCACAGCCTGCGTTTTCGACCTTCCTGCTTCTTGACCAAGTCACGGTTCTGCCAAAACATATCATGTTCATTCATGTTCTCTCCCAAGTTTAGCTGCTTAGCTGACATATGATGGCATATGGATCAAAAACTCCTTGAATGCATAGGAACTAGTCAAAGTTAGCAGGGCCCAGCTGCAGAATCAGAATCCTGATGCTCGCACAACTGCTTCGCCTTCTGCTCCCTGATGAACTCGCCTGGGCACCAGCGACATGCCGCTCCTGTTACAAACACCTACGAACACCCCTTCTGGAAGCTCAGCTTCCGCGTCTCGCACTACTCAGTTACTACTCCCATTCTGCGCTCCCATCTTCCAGGTGGCTGGGTGCACACCAATCCAAGAGGTTAAACTCGTGGGTTTGCTGCGGGAAGTCTCCGAGCTCGCGAGATGCCAAGCGCACCAACTGCGTGAAGCTGCCACTGCCCACCCAACGGGCACAGAAGGCCTGGAGCACAAAGCTCGGAAAAGGATCCACCGTGGAAATGAGAAAGAACGACAATCTTCATGTAGAACACACTGTAGAAACTACTGTAGAACACCTTTTGCAAATGATTCCAAGATATAAGTTCAAGTGCTTGTAGGATGCATGAGGGGGTTCCAAGTCTCTCCACCCTGAGGGCATACGACTGTAGTACGGGGCCAAAGCTCAAAGGCTTGTGTCTGATAGAAGTCCCCGTTTTCCCGCCAACCGGAGTCCTGTGAAGGGAAACAGCAGTGTTGTTGAAAAGAAGGCGGCCAACAAGTGGACGTCAGCTCCATGCAACAGCTGGTCCAAGGCGTTGATGTCAGCTCTTTGCACCATGCCTGAAGCATCCAGTCGTCTGGCTATGAGTTCATTGGACCTGTTGGACATGCGTTTTGTTGCAGAAAGTGTCTGTGTCTCTGTGATTGAGGCCATGGCCGTTTGGATTTCCTCTTCGAAGCGACCGTATCGCCGTGTTGCCTGACAGGCAAGCAATGAAAGTGAAAGATTGAGGAGGGTTTGAAAATCTATGATCCAAGCTATCGCCTCAGTGTTGGCGATCTGAAATGGTTGGGCTCTTAATGACCAACAATGTCCAGCTGTTTTGCTAATGCTCACACGGATGAGTCACAAGCCGTCACAAAGCGCCCACATAAACCCTACGTTCTATGCAATACCCAGCGACCCCTGCATCAGCACCAGAAAACCTGGTCACATATGGTCACATAGTCATCCACTCACTATAGCCCCCCCCCCAAGACGGCGACCATCTTGGAAAACCGGCTGAAAAGCCATTTTCAGCCTCCTTTCATGCCAGGACCTTTGACGAATCCGCCGGCGCCTGGAGGCCACCTGGCCCGGCAAAATGCGTTGGCCGCTCGCGACCGGTCATGCGGCGGACCAGCAGTTCCGTGAGCCCGTCGCGCGCGGCACGTCCCCTGTGCACCTCAGCTGGGACCGGTCCGTCTCAAGGACGGTTGGACCACCCGTCCCCTTTGGTGCTTGGACCTGTAGACCAGGTCCAGGGTAAGGCCGGGTAGGGCTGGAGAAGTGGTAAAGCTTCATGTCTCCGTTGGATGGAAAGCCAACCTTTTCACTTCAGGGTCTTTGCCACTCTTCTGGCGTGTCGCGTCAGGTCTAAGCCAAAAGCACAGCTTGGCTGGCGCTTTCAGGCTCACCGCTTGGGCGGTCAGGGTCCTTCGAATGAGCCGATGTGATCCACAGAGATCATAAGGCCTAAGGTTCTTCAGACAGACATGAGCCCATCAAATCAGTGGACTGGACATTGCATTTCTGCAAAAATGGCCCATTGTTCTTCAGGACAGTGTATCCAATCCTTTTGCTGAGATAGACCTTTGGCCAACTCAGCCAGCAACGCGGCTGAAACTCATCAAGAGCGAGGATTACCACTTCTGCCCTCATCTCGCACACCTCTGGAGGCTTCCTGATGTCTTTAATCAATATGGGACACTACTGGCACATGCTGCAAGGGCTAGGGCCAGCCGCTAAGTCCAATGTTTTGGCATTGTCAGGAAAACCCATTCAGAACCTACCTGTGGTGGAAATGCAGTTCATGAAAATTGCTCTCCAGGGTTGCGCTGAAATAATTCCTATCTGAGTCCATGCCCTCAGTATTGCTGACGCATCCTTGCACGCAAATCCCGGGCCTGCAGTCAGTGAAGCTAATGCACGGCAGCTCTGCAAGGGGTGACTGAACTCAATCCCACCCCAACAGACTATAGTATCTACCATTAACTCAAAAATCAGCCAACACACAAGAGAGACAACAAGCCTCCAAGGCCCAGCATAAAAAGGAAACGAAGCCAAAAGAATTAACTACCACAATGTGGCAGGAGGACAGCCAACAAGTCTCAGTGCTGTGACAGTGAGATGACCCACAGTGTCTCTCCAAGGAGCCCCACTAAGCCCAAAAACCAGCTCAATGGTAGGGGCCACCTTCCTTTTTCGGCCAATACCCGTCGGCGTCGCCTCCTGCAACATGCCAAGCTTCCGCATGCGTTCACTCAGCTGCTTCATCCGCTCCAGGCGTTGCCTCGTGGAGTCAAGGATGGCGTCACGAGAGGGCTCACAGCATGTTTTGCTTCATCTACCATATCCACCATTTTCCAAGCACCTTACACCTGTGGCACTCTGCTCCACCAAGTGGCACGAATGGTAGTGGGCCAATTTATGATGAACATCATGTAATGTATCGGAGTTGTGACTGACTTGTGACCCCTGCAGTCAGACTACGTCCTGAGTGCGAGGCTCGGCAGTGGGGTAGACTGCATGATCCAGCTCGTGCAGGTAAAGAGGTACAGCACTGCTGAAATCCCCTGGCACCAATGAAGGCCAACATGCCCAGCATGTTGCCCTCTTGCCGAGGCAGTCGCAATTGTCAATTCAGTCGAATCAGATCGTACAAAACTGCCCAATGTCAGAGACTTCTTTCGCTCCGTCAGCCCATGCCATGCCATGGAACTCCCCCTGCCATGCCCCACCTTTCTCATCCAGAGTCAAGGCCCAATTGTAGAGAGTTGACAGACCTTCACAGTCAGACTCTGTCAGGTGCAGATTCGTCTGATAACCCCCATCCGTCTCAGTGCGCAGCTCGTCGGATGGGTGTCCCCGAGCTTCCCCACAATGCCAATAGCTGCCTCCTGCGTTTCCACAAAGCCCACTCTGGGCATGCAAAAAGGCAACTACAGCACAGTATATAGATCGTCTTAGTCTTCATGAAATAGCATGATACTTTTTACTCATCGCAGAATAAATGTTCTATCCATTCAAAGCTCTTGGCGTCCTTGTAGCATTCCTCTGCTTCATCCAGCTGGCACAGGTCCGGCAAGATCGAACAGCCCAAACAACTGGGTACACTCTTGAGGAACCTCAAGCTTTCAGAAAGTGTTGGTGTTACAGAAAATATTGGCAACACCCTTCGGATGTGTACGCCAATGGATCCAACATGATCCAAGATGTCCAGTTCACCAATGCTGCCACAACACCCAACCTCGCACCGTCGAACGACTTCCCCAACCTCGCCCGCGGCTCGAAGCACGCCCGCAAGATTGTTGATGCAAGAGAGGGTGTCCTGGGCGACACTGAATGTTCGTCGATGTCTTAAGCTTGGAGGCGCCTATTGATACTTATCTGATTGTATCTTGGTTGCATGCCTGGTAGTGAGCAACAAAATGGGCTAGGGATGCCCAGGGCCTACGTAATTGGGTATTGTCTCGGATGGTCTCGGTAACCTCAACTGGTTAAGAGGCCCCATGCCAGTCATTGACTGGTGAATTGTAGCCAAGTCTCCAGGTGTTTGTTCCCAAGGGAGGCCCGCATCCCATCCACTGCCTTCTCATAAAGCTCCTTGGCCTGGTGAAGGTCACCCCTTTCTCGGAGCACACGGGCCTCAAACACCAAATCTGTAGAAAGGAGCAATGTATAAATATATATATATATATGAAGGTTGTCCATGACAGGTGGAATCTGCGTTTTCTGTACAGTTCTGCCAAGTGGCCAAATTATTCATGCTCTTCCTTAGGCACACAGGACGAATGACCCGAACGCGTAGACGGCGAAAGATTTTCGTCTTCAGGCCGGGCTGCAGCGTCACAGGGTGTCGCTTCCCCAGGTACTTTCGGCCAGCGCTCACGGCCTGAACGACAAGTCAGATGCACGGCACTACCAAGGAGCAAGATGAGCAAGATGAGCAAGGAGTCCTTGAGGAGCTCCGAAGGGAAGGAGTTCTTCGGTCGTTTTCATTTGGTCACCCTTCTTGCCCATATGGGTAGCGCATGTGCTGGAGCAGTTTTGCGTGGATGTGATTTTCATCTCGAACATGCGCGTATAGGCTTTCTTTCAGCTCCAATCAATGAGGATAAAGTCATTCTTCCAGGCCTCTTTCAACAGTGCCAAGGCCTTCTCCAAAGCTCTTTTCTCTTCTCGCTCATCGTACTTTCTGCGGCACTCCTGCAGGAGAAGCCGACCCTGGAGAAGCAACTGGAACGATGAAAAGAGAACGCTCAAACATTTGTGGCCTTGTTCGGGGAAATGCAGCTAAGCAAAGGATCCAAAGTCTCTGCTTGCCTACACAGCCTACACACCTGCATAAACAGGCAATCTCACCGTTTCAATCCCGCCCAACTGCCATGCCTGGGCAAGGTCCTTGGTTGTCAACTGGTGTGAATGAAGTTACAGTACATGAAGTTACCACATGTTAACAACTGTTACCACGAAACCCGGCCGCGCACAAGCCAAAAACGAAAGGTTGTCCTTTTTCTGCATGGACCGCTATCCAAAGCCAACCCACCGGACACATCACACATCGTGATCCCTCTGCTTCCAAGGCTCCAGCATGATTGAGGCACAGTTGTTCATGCTTATGATGGTGTCCATGTGTTTGATTCCAAAGATCTTTCGACGTCCATCCAACACCTGTTCAAAGAGCTCTCCGGCCTTTTCGTTCTGCCCGTTCGATCGAAGGTACAAAGCCAGATTGCCTAGCCGCCGAGATCAAATTGCAGGATCAGGCAAGGTATGCTGCATCCGTTGAAAAAAGCAAATGGATTGCGTTCAGTTCCTGTTTCTGTTGGTGGTTTGCTCGTCTGTGGTTATGGCTTTCCATCGGTGGACACCCCTCATGGATTCGTCTGAGAAGATTCAACGTCTCCCCACAGCTCCGCAGCCAAAGCACTCATACTTGTCATGGTGTCCGGATGAGAGTGTCCCAAAACCGTGCGGCGACGCTCCAGGCACTCCTCTCCCGAAAAGAGCGGCGGATGTGAAGCGCCGAAAGAAATTGCATGACAATGTTCATCTCTTTCTTTCACCTTCCTTCCATACTCAAACCTCTGAGCCTGTGTACCTGAAGATGCCTGAAGTGAGTCCTGATCCGGACAGATCCGTCCTGATACAGCTTGCCCGCTTCAGAGGGTCGACCAAGAGCATCCACCGTGCAGGCCAAGTTGTTGAGGCTGGTGAGGGTGTCCGGATGCTTGGGGCCCAGACTCTCCTGAGAGAGGGGGGGACCGCTCTGACTCCGAATGTGGACAAAAAATTGTTCATATGTGTACATTAAAATTAGTAGCATGTGCAACTGTGCCTAAAAGGAGGTGGGTACTGTAGGGTAGGTAACGGTAGGAAAAGGGATGAGCACTGAAGTATCCTCTCGCAACAACTGAACATTTGGAGCACTTGAGTTTGTGAAGTTACAAATTTCCTTGCACAAATGTGGACCAAGTCTTGCTCAAAGTGGCATGCCGCATCTTGAAAGCATCCCTGAAGCACTTCTCAGCCTCCTTGTAGTCGCCCTGCGCCTGAAAACTTCGAACCGCCAGTGTTCAAAACAGGGGTCCCCAAATTGACCCCTTTCAAGGGGGAAGGCTTTGAACACCAACGGATCCCTTCCCGGCCTTCCACGCTGATCCCAGGTTGTTCAAGGCATCCAACGTGTCTGGCGCCTGGCTCACTTCCAAATGGCCCTGTCACTGTCACTCGAATAGGAAGCAACAAAATCTATTAAAAGGTCTACTGTAAATTGATGCATCAATCTCTTCAGCGCATGCCCCAGCACGCCTGCTCGCCGTAAGCCTTCTTGGATCCAAAGAGGGCCTCCTGTGCCAAGATCAAGGCCTCCAAGATTTCACGTGTTGGATGCTTTGGCGAGAAGCCAGAATCAGATCCCCGCGACGAACGGTTCAAAACACACATGTTTGACGAAGACTTCCCAACCTCATAGGTCTGTCCATGCCTTTGCTGGCCAAGGTTTGAGGGCTTGAGCGCGAGAAACATGCTCTTGATGAATCGACAGAGAATAGATTAATTAGATTCTCTTACTGTAAATAGCTTCCAAACCTGTTGGCTTGAGGGCGAACGAAACGCAGTGAAATCACCTGTTCTCATCTGTTCTCCGCCAGGTGGCTGTTTGCACATTGCCGCCTGGAACCAAATCTCTTACGCGTTTCGGTGCGCAGTGCTTCACCAAAGCCACATTTAGCTGGTCACTTAAGACAATTACCATGTCACATCGTTTCCCCGCCCGCCATGTCACTTCATCGCATAAAGAAGCTATGCATGTTGGACGTTTCATACTTATTCATTGTTTCTATGGACAAGATGCTTTCCCGAAGCGGTTTCGTTCCCGGTCGTTTCAATCGTTTCACCGAAGCTCGCTGTTTGGATGCCAAGGCTCCATCTTTCCAATGCTCTGCAGCGTCTTGGGATGTTTGTCCCCCAGAACTTCCCTCCGGCCATGCATCGCTTCTCCATAATGCTCCAGGGCACCTTTCAGCTGACCTGCAAAGCTGAGCGTCTGCTTCAAAAAAAAGGTTTGGACGTCTTAGTGCGTCTAACATCGTCTTGTTCTAATAAAGCCCTTCTGCTCAGGCAGCCATTGCAACCGATTTATTTGGTCTCCGCAGCTTGGGCCAGTGAGGGTGCACAACAAAAGCAATCAAAATAGCAGCCCGGCCTCGCTTTTCTAGGATGCCTCCCATGTGCGTCATGCTTGTGAGCGTCTTGGAATTGTCCACCCCATACTTCTCACGTCTTGTGTCCTCGGAGTACACAACACACTAAAGTGGGGGGGCCTGCTCCAGTAAAGCAAGCCAGCCACCCGGCCACTATTGAGCAAGACTCCAAGAAGCTTTGAAACAGGTTCGCAGTCCAGGTGCCCATGCTGCCTGTCAGTCAAAATATCCAAGGCAGTTTCCAAAATGGCACCGAAGGCCGGCAGGGGCATAAATATGTTCAATGAAGTGACAAGAACAATCTTGACCCATGTCCGGGAAAGTCCTCTAGAAATCTACGGATCTTCCACCTTGCCACTGCAAAAACCTGTAGGCACCTGGTAAGTTCGGCGCAGTTCGCTTTAAAGATATCTGGATTGGCACCCCATCTTGGCACCCATCGGCAGCGTCACCAAGGGCGCATCAGCACATATTTGTCAATGTTTGCATCTTAAAGCTCAGAAGATGAAATGCCAAGAAAGGTTGTGATGTGGCCTTCAAGAATGGCCTTGAAAAATGATTTGTGCTCTTGGCTCTTGGCACTAAGATTATCATGGATAGTTGAACTGAGATTCAAATTGCGGTGTTGGGAGCCAAAATAGCCATTAATGTACAGTATCCATAAACCCATGGCAAGGGTTGGATAAAGATGGTGAAGCCTAAAACGGAACAACCTCCAGCAGCAAATGCTCCCAGGGGACATGTTGTTTTTCTTCGCAAGTCCCACCAGCACGACCAGTTGGTTTGCACATTTTGAAGCAGTGCGATGGATGGTGTTTTGGTGCACACGGCAGCTGAAGCTGGTTCTGATGAGTGCTGGTTCGCTCGAAGCGAGCCTGGCATTAGCTGCCAGGGCCTTGCAATGAGCGCGAGCACGGGAATGAAGACCTCCACGAGGAGCAGCACGGAGCAGTCAAAGAAGATCTGAAGGCAATCAACATCATCAATCAGCTCATTGCTTTCTGCTGTCCCGCAGCACGGCTTTGGCGTCTGACCCTAGCATCGAGAGAGTCGGCCAAGCATTCCTCCGTGTTGCTTCGGAGTTAGGAAGGCTCCTCGTCAATGTGTTTCTCCAAAGGCTGTTTTGGTGTCTGCTCCAGGGTCATCATTGCCTCGTGCTTCAGGAAACGAGAGAGTCGCAGCCGTCCCTGAAGTTCACTTCTGATGGAGTAGGTGGAGCCGTCAGGTGTATTGCCTGGCAGTTGCCAACTTGTGTAGAACAGTCTCCTGCGTGAGCCCCTGTCCACCACATTGGCACCTCCACAATGCAGCAAACGCGAATCCATCAGCACTGCTGTGCCAGCCTGGCAGGTGGCATGTATGGCTCCAAAGCGTTGAGACGTCTCCGCACTTGACCGCAGCTCGAGTGGAATCTGGTTGATTGCTTCGTGGGAAGCTAAGTTATGCGTCCTTGGGCACAGCACCGTCGGCCCCATCTCTTCTGTAATGTGTTGCAGGGCTACGAAGACTGTCACCAATGGAGCACCTGAGAAAGCTTTCCGAAAGCCAATGCGCTATGACCAATGATGACAGTTTCTAACCGATTGTTCAAAACATGCTGAACAGTATATAAAGACGCAAACACGCACCAAAAGAAAAAAAAAAAGGAGCACAAGGGTCCGCCAACGCTAGCAAGGAACATGAGCTGGCCGCGCAAAATGTGTCAGGATGCATTGGCTGTTGCTGTGCACCAGGGTCACTCACCAAACAGGATAGCTCGACTAGGCGACCTTCGTCTGATACCCGCTGCACCTTGGCTACATCAAACGCAGGACGCACACAATGACGAACACGACAAACCAAACGGAAACGCCAAACCGCCGATTGGCGGTGGCTGAGCAGTGCACAAGAAGCTGACCCACCTTTGTCACGAGAAAAGCCAATGCCTCTTGAACAGCTCCATTGAGTGGGAGCTTCAGATCATAGCGACATCTGCGGCATCGAACGTTGCCAAAGTGACTCTCCTCCAGGCTGTCCCTGGTTTCATCCGAGGCATCCGCCATCTCACTCTGCACAGCAGCAAGAGAGGAATCCACGAATGCAGCCAGATTTCGACATGTTGCTGACGGAAGCGCTTCGGTCAGCACCAGGAAGCCTTCTGACTCCAAGTGGTGCGCGCAAGCGTCCAAATCCTCCGCAAACTCCTTTGCTATGAAATGGCGCACGGTATCCATAGAGGTCAGTCAAACATCAATGTCGGGCAATTATGGCATGAGTCATGAGTATGTAATTATATAAGTATAAGTATATAAGTTGGAATGTCTTCTACAAGGCTCGTGTTCAGCAACACTGCTGCCCTGCTTCAGCAGATTTCAGCGGTAGATATTGCCTACAGTAAAGGAGTATCTTGCAAATGCTCGACCCTGAACTGTCCCCTTGTTCCAAGCAATCAATCTGTATCAATGGCTGCGGCAAGAACTTTTGCGTACGAGGTGTGGTGACCATTCTTAAGCACATCAAGCCTTGGCGTGCAGTCTTTGGAAGCAAAACTTCCCCGTGACAATGACTGTCGTGAGATTCATTCCTGAAACCAATGGGTAAAACGGATTGGATCAGCTGGATGCAATGTCAATGGCGATTCTATGCGATTCTTATCGATAATTCTTGTGGTGGGTTGGCACATCCGCAGAGGTGGCAGTACTTTCTTCGCACGGGCGAAGGTGTGTCTTCTCGCTTCCTCCACGAGTGGCTTGAGCTCAGAGTTTTATTGGGAGTGCCAAGTAGAAAGAACGCAAACATCTGATGTCAGGCACAGGTTGCACATCACGCAATCCATCGCAATCCGCAATCCCTCCACATCCACCATGCCAAGTGGCTGCATGATGCCAAGAAAGATCAAACACTGGTCGGTACCAGCTGAAAGATTGCCGGCTGACCTGAGCAAAGCCCCCTTTTTGAGCCCAATTGTGTTCAGTCAGGACACACACTGAAACGTCATAAAATGTCATTAACGCCTGCAGCAAGCCGTGCCCTGGAAGAGGGCTCCTTTGGCGCCTGCAATGGGCAAAATTTGTTGCAGGAACTTTGGCAGGGGTAGCCGCTAGCCGCTAGCCGGGCCTATTCTCCGCCACATGTTCTGAAGGTTTCAAATCTCAGCAAGTCCACTTGTGCTTAGATATTGGAAGTACTGGATGATCTCAACTTCAGTAACTCTCCCTCGAGCTCTACCTGTGCAGCCTGCCCCACAATCTTTGCCTGCCAAATGGTTTGGGTCCAGTCACTTCACCCCGCCACTGTCCTCTTCATCTGGACCTGCCCTCCAAACAGGCCATTTCTTGCAGTCTAGTGCTTCCCGAATCCCATGGCCTCCATGGTGCTAGGCCGTTGGCAATGAGCTTCGGACAGCGCAAGGCCTGGTTCCCAGTGACCAGGCGCGGGCGGTGGACCACGCCAGCCTCTCCGGAGTGCCCCATGTGTGGTGTGCAGCTCAAGTCTCCAGACATGTTGTGGGGTGAAGAAAGATTTGCATAATTAGTCTACTATAGACTATATAATTATGTTTAATTTGTGACTATTTATATATATTTTATATATACACCTGCTTGAGGTGCAAGGCTTCAACTCTCCAAGAATCACTAAACATCAGTCTGGCCTCGATGGTGGTGTTGGGAGTCAGCAGCAAATGAACCCCACCTCCTGGTTCACCTCAAGTTGACCAGCAAACCACCAAGCGACGTGAGCGACCCATCTATAGTACCATAGGACCTACTTTGGTGTAGTGTAAGACTCGCATCTACCATCTAGCCAGTGCTATCAAGATTTGTGCTATGTTTACATGGGTTCACATCTTGTAGAAAATACCCTTCTACCATGTCCAAGGAATAATCTGCCTCTATCCATCTCTCGCAAAGGAGCCTTGGGCCGCGGCACGGGCCGCCACCAACACGCAGTGTGGACAAGACCTTAAACAGCAAACAGTCATTTGACAAGCTCTGAAGCACTGCCTTGGCACAGGACCAAGTGGAAATACTGCGCGAAAAGCCGGACCTCGTGACCATTCATTCGTGACAAAGACTCAATGCCAACCAGCCTAGCTCCTCGAAGTTGGCTCCAACTCACAAGCACTTGACTGGCTCCATCACCCAATTCACCAAATCACCATCTCTTTGCATCTATGGCGCTAAGTAGTCCTTCACTTCGGGCCTTCGATGTGAAACATCTCTCCACATACCACTGGCACGTGGTACCGGTGCCTCAAGGCGGAAGCGCATGCAGCTTCCACAATGGCTGAGCTGTAACGGCCACCAGGCACCTGCACCGCCACAAGGGACGGGAAAGACTTGGGGGGGGTTCACCAGTAAGGCTTTCATAGGCTCTCACTTTGGCAAAGGGCCTGTCATGGCCTGTCCATGTTTGGGTCCTCTAGAGTTTTGTCCCAGGAGGAGGAGGTTGTATGTCAGATTCGTCCATTGATATACATCTTTCAATTGAGAATTGCGGCCGTGTCTACATGCTTCCGCATGACAACACAAGTTGGTCACCGCCAATTGTCCGGCATGCCTGAGGTGTACGTTGGGTATTGTTCAGATTCCCTTGTCATTCGCTTTCGCATTGACGATCGCATTCCATTTCCATAAGAATGTCCATGCTACATTCATTCACAAAATACATCATTGCGATCACTTTGATACATTGATATTAGTATGCATTCTGATTCTCGTCAATCAAACCTAGCTGCCTTGTTCACCATCATTCAGTGAACCTCGTATTTTCATTATTTTCTGCTCGCAGCAATTTCAAGGTAGCGACGCAAGCATTCACTCCATTTTTTCTGAGGTGAGCTTCTGGAGACGAACAGAGTCCATTGAGAGTTGTTCATTAGCTGATTAGCTTTGGACTCCGACATAGCCTTCTGCCCGGCCTGATTCCGAGCAGGTTCCAAAAGCTTGTCGGTCAGGTCATACCTCAGCATTATGTCCAGAAGACTTGCTCCAATTCCACAACATCCAGCTGCAAAAGCCCATGCTTTACCAGGCTTTACCGTACGCCCAGTGGAGGAAGCTGCTGGCATCAACTGGTGGCTGAATGTGCAAACGCACAACTGGTGCCAGCAATTCACCACCACTGATGCCTGTGATTTGGAACTGCCTCCAAGTAAACAAGCTACCTGACATCTGACACCTGACACCTGAAGCCCACTAAGTGCTTGGCACGTTTCGCCTTGCGGTTCGAGAAAACAAACCAACAACACTGCTCAAACCAGTCGAAGCAAATGTGGCCTGAAGGCGAAAAGGAGCGGATACCATGGCAGGAAGGGGGGCCTCGGAGTAGACGCTTTAGTTGCTGGATATTGCTGGAGGGTTCCAGGTGCGTCCTTGTTCCTACTAGCTTCTTGTTACTAGTAGCGATGCCAGGAGCCCCCTGCTTCTTGCTCCTAGTAGTAAAGGCCAGGAGCCTCTAGTAGCGTCCTTGTTCCTATGCTGTCGATCCGCCTCGCCTTTTTGAACGCATTGACCGCACCCAGGGGGAGCCAACCTAAGGCTCGCACCAGCCAACGATGTACATGAACGGAGGCTCTGCCCATAGTGCCTTGCAACATCAACAGGTGCCAGTTGACAATGGATGCCGATCTGGGGGGCATTCATATCATTCATAGGCTAAGGTGGGTGCAATTTATGTCTAAATTGTGTTTGAAGCTCTTTTCGGAGAAAGAACTCAGTCTGTCAATGTCCATCGAGAAGCCTCGAGTGTTATTCCAGCTGTGTTGCTACCAATGGGCCGCACGGCATTCCACGGCCATCGGAGCTGGCCTGCCATGGAGCTAGCATTGGGGACGAGGCACGTAGCCTTTTTTTGGCATTCTGGCACTTCCAAAAGGGCTTAGGATGTACAACTATTAAACACTTGGAAGAGTGCTGGAGCCCTTCCCAATCCGCCAAGGCCACGCAAATCGGAGAGGCTGCCGGCAAAGACATCCTGAGCTGCTCCGCAAGGCAACTTCACTCTGTACACAAGGGATGACTACAGCTGCAGGTGTTCATTTCTCTTGCTCAAAACTTTGAGCTTCTGAAGGTTACGACGTGCTACTTGGAGCAAGCTTTGGAGAGTCCACATAGTGCAGTGCTGCCCAGGTGCATCTGCTATGTAGAATGGCATCAGGGCCTTGGCTTGTAGACATGGTGAGTCTTTTCAATTCATCCCCAAGATGATAGGCTGCCGCCAAGATCGAAACGACCTGGGAACACACACACCCTTGCAGCCTCAAAATGTTGAAGTGAATGGTGCCAATGTCCCATGGCTCCGCGTCCAACGGTTCATGTATCGCACCAGGTAGTCTTCATTGTGACACGGTCACGGAATGGCTTTGAATTTTACACATTTGTAGATGCAAAGCTTAACAAAGGCCCCCCACATCTGAAACAGTCCAACGGCCAAGGGTTGGGCGTCATGGCACCACGTTTGGGCCAAGGAGCATCAATCCACGGGACCCAAAGACGTCGCAGAAAGGGTCTTAGAAAGAAGGCCATCGAAACGCGATGCCCAGGAAGGCCGCCCTCCGGGCCTTCCTGGTCTTTTTTTAAAGCTCTGAGAATTTTAAGGTCCTGACCGGCCCAACACCTCTGACCTCAAAACTCGAACAAAGGCAGAAGGTTAGCCACGAAGCAGTGGAGGCAAAGCCTAAGAAGAGCGGGCGAGCGGCTAGAGCTTCCGGCACCCTTTTCGTAAATCGCAAAGGCCAAAGTCTGAATGACTCCTAGAGCTAAGAGACCAACTTTAGCATTGCATTTTTGCAGTGCTACCTGGTCTCTTTGGAAAATGCTGCTAGCGCTAACATCCGCCGTTCACTCCACCTTCGCTCAGTCAGGTGGATGGGGAATCTCCGGCCTCACGATGAGTGAATCTGCGGTCAGATCATCAAAGCACACAAGAGATTCTGCGGAGGTTTTCCTGATGCCTTGAATCATGGAAGGCATTGTTATGACATGTTATGACCACCTAACTTCATCTACAGGGTCATCTCTTAATAATATATCACACTCAACTGTCAATCACTGCGAAAGGCAAACCACTACCATTTGGCTTCAAAACTATTCAACTGAATGGTAAAGCAGAATAGTACCAAAAACCGACCAACAGATTTGACCAACTCCAACTCCCATCAGGTCACTTAGTTCCTGACCATCTCTAGCTCCGCCAGCCACTGCCGCATGATCATGGCATCGTCTTCCTCGGGATCTGTCAGAGGTAGGACTCCAGGACCCCTCTCACTAGCAGTGTCACCAAGCTTCTGGGATCTTCAAACATGTTTAGGGGCATCTGAGCTTCTCGTGCTCTTGCCTTTCTTCATTTGTTGGTGGCATCTTTTTGCCTACTTTAGGCTCGACACAGCCAAGCAGCTGGAAGATTCTTCATGGGTGCAATGTCCTTGGCAGGAGTATTGACTGCTGCTAAGTGGACAGAATATGACAGAATCAATCCCCAGTCAAAATGACAGAACCATCAGAAGGCCTGTGGGATTGCTCAACTTGTGGACCCCACATCGCTTGATTCTCATGCACTTGCAGCCAGCCGGCCGTAGCATTCTTGAAGCCCTGCGGGACAGCTTTGCCCCGCGGGTAGAAGCCGATGTACCAGTGAAAGTAGTTGTAACCTACTATCAGAACTGAAACATCGGCCAATTTCCAATCTGGCCAGTGCACAATCCTTGAAACTCTCTAGACGTGATATGCATGCGTCTGCCAGGCATGCCAAGGAACTCTCAGACCCACCACAAAGCCTGGCGAATTCCAACGAATTTCAGCACATTCTTAGGCCTCAAACATCCTGAAACTGTGAACCCTCCACAATCAATGCATCTGGTCTCGGCAGATCGATGTGAAGTTGTAAAGATTTCTAGACCCAGTTTGTTTGCAGCATATTCAACGCCGATCTCTGGCAGGAATCCGTGAGGGGAGTCACAATACGCAAACCCAGGCAAATTCCCCCTCTCCTGAATTTGTGAAACCAGCTGCTGCGCTGGGTCTCACAACTCGGTCTAGTCCACACAGCAATGTTGAAAGGGCAGTCGTCCAGCTTAAAATAATACCTGGCGTTCAGGCTGAGGACTGCGTACAAATTTTCGGTCTCACCCAACTTCTTCGTCCGCTTTGGCAATAGTTCGGTGAGACTTCATGTGATGTACCTCCATTCTTTCAGCTTGCCTACGTCGATAACATCTGCCGTAGCAGTCGGTGAACATGACTCGCACGAGGAGTTTGCATCCAGCATGCCGAAATCCCAAACACGAGTGAAGAGTTTCAGCTTGATGAGCGCCAAGGGACATTTGAAGCACTCGCTTCAGCACATGTGCTAAATCCTCCAGCTCCAGGGGCAAGATTTGAAAGAAGTCCTCAAGCACGGAAGCTGAGGCTGTCTCACCATGTAGACAATTCCAAGAGAGAGAGCCACCAGCTCAGCTTTGACTGTCTGACCTTTTGTCCATAGGTCTGGCCAGGTTTGGAACATACATGCCCACCCTTGAAGTTTGTCAAGCGGAGACCATTTTCCGAAATGACACACCATGATTCAACCACAAGTTGGCTTGCTTGTTTCAGTCTTACAGTGGGGCTCGTGAGATTCATGTGGGGAAGTCTGCCTTTCAATTCCACGTCCACAATGGTCAAAAATTTAGATTCTGCATATCTAACTAAAAACATTTGAGGCCATTGGAGTTGATCCCTTGGAGTTGATCCCCTGACCTCTTGGCGCCTGTTCCAACTTGCCGCCCAGCCACTGGAGAGTGCCGCTTGGGCGCCAAGTAAAGGCGCCAGCGCTCGCGGCAGGCGAAGGGCGCGGAGACCACGAAGTGCTCCGTTTCCAGAACCAAGCGCTCCGAGGCCAAGTCGGTCTCGGTCACGACGTGGCGCCGGTGACAACCGTAGGTTTCAAACACCGACAGCATCTGCTTCCACAGTAAAAAGATGGGAGTTGGGCAATGGTTGCAAGGCGAAAGGACACAAATCATGTGGTTACTAGGGCAGTGCTACTGTTGCTACTGTTGATGCACACAACCCCGCTAAAATGTTATTTTGGGATTCCTGCGTGTGATGCTGTATGGTTTTCCAAGTGGTGAAGGATTTTGTCCATTGACCATAGTCCATTTGCCTTCTGAGGCAGTCCTTGACAGCATGTCCTGCTGGCAAGTCGATCCGAAGAAAAAACAAACACAAAGTACATACAGCAACTGTACCTGTGTTGCCTTGACAAGCATATGCAGTACTTTGTAGCTTACGACCACTGAATCAAAAGAAACCAAAGGGGTTCCCGAGTAGTTATTATCCTTTGATGTATTTCATGTCATGTGACTTCAGTCAAGGTTGAGAGCTTTCATGAACCTAGACCGTCTTGCCATTGAACTTGCCAACCAAGGTACCCCGGTTGGGGCTGACACAAGCACTTGACAGCCCACGCAAAGCCCAAAGCGTTGCTTCAGGCGTGCTGCCCGAATAAGTTGCACCTCTGTGGCGAAGGAAAAAGATCTGTGATCATGTGGAAGAAGAACATAACATTGGAACTGATGTCACTCATTATGGGTAGACTGGACATGGTCTAATCTTCAGCCCCAGGAACATCCACGGAGCTGGGGACGAAGGGCGTCGTGATAATCTGCCAGTGAGCATGCACGATGCTGCCGCACTTGTGCTGCTTAAACACCTCGGGCTTCGAAAACAACCCACGAACGCCCTGCCGGTGAGGTGCCATCACCAGAACATGGATGGAGCTGAGAGGTTGTGCCCTCAACCTGTGGTAGTTTCTAGTGAAGGTTGACAGCAGGCCTGCACTTACCGATGATGATTCCTTCTGGAGTGGAATAACTCGAGTGATCTCGAGTGTATCTTTCCAGCTCATGGCCCAAGTTTGCGAGCTCATTTCTCCTGGGGGATTCGTGGAATTGAAAGAGCAACCTTCGAGCCGTGGCGCGGTGACGTATCCCACAAGGGGATTCGATAGCAATTGCTGGCCACGGATCACAATGGCACGGAGCGCCAAGGCTATGCACCTCATCCCAGTCGTTTCCTATGGAAAACACTCCAAAACCTCATAAATGTGGATCGCTTTTATTGCTAAACTCATCTAAACTGTACACACCGCAATCCAACTTTGGCTAATTGTGGCATGGCACTCCTCTTGCTCCAGTGCCGCGCACATGTTGTGGAGAGGCGTCTCGATGACCACATCATTAAAGCCGACGCCGGGCACCTGTTCTCAAACACGATTTGGACTGGCACCTGTGACTCGCCAGCCTGCTATTCAAGGTCATCAATATTGAATTATTAGGTCTCATGTGGCCTTCCTCTGGGCCTTCGGAACCAAACGAGAAAGAGTCGAGTGGTGCCCCAGCGCCTGCAAATACAAGGGGTGCCCAACTCTGGGGTTGATCATGTTGCCAGCACGGTCATCCAGAAAGCCAGTGTCGCAACCATCATCATAGTACTCCCGTGGCACGCTCATGCTGGGGTAGATGTTGCGAACCTGGGCTGCAATGGGCGCGCGTATCACCCAAAATCATAAGGCTTGGGATGTGATAGAATATACCTCCTCAAAAAGCAACACAAAGCATGGTCGGCAAGATTCTGCAGCTCTTCAACCGTCTTTAATATATTGTTCATTTGTTTTCCTTCATAGTAATGTTTCCTTCAACACTGCAAAGTTGGAGTTTAAAAAACTGCTACCATGTCCTTCTTAGGGGGTCATCGCGTGTACGCTCCAACAAATGAATCGACCCAAGGCGCTACACGGACCTGCCAGGGCCGACCATTCGGTCGTGACCAGTCATTCTTCAACTGATGCCCTGCCACCATGAGGGTCTCGTAGGCATCATACTGGAGCAGGTGGGGATGCTGGGATAGCCCACTACACCCGACACATACACACACACACACACGTGGCACAGATTTAGATTAATCAAATCAATTAGTATAATTACATCATAAACTGTAGAACTATAATAGCTAGTATGCATCTTTAAACTGTAGTATGTTTATCTATAGCATATAAGAACGCTCAGCCGGTCCTTCCAAAAGTTGGCCATCAGCATGGTCTCAGTGCCCTGGGATTCCCCCTGGCAGTCAGCAAAACAGCGAAAAAACGCCAGCGAAACTGGCTCCGGCCACCCGGCTCGCCTCGCCGTTCGGGATTTTCCTGGGAAGAAACAAACAAGTGCACATGCAACCAACTTGTATACTTCTCCCTGGAAGTCCAAGATCATTTTTAAAATCATTGATCTGGTGTTGTAAGGCTTGTAGTGTTACTGTAAACTCCTTAGTAAAACAGCTGGTGGTTCGGTAAAGGCATGTAAAGGCTATCGAAATAGTAATGGTGCTTGGAATCCCAGAATTATTGTATGTTCTTGTCACGAACTGCCGGTTCTTATAAGTGGCTGAGGATTTTGGCCCACGACTTGCCCAACAAGGCCTGAACTTGGGGCACATTGGCCTCCAAGTCTTCTTTGAGCACTATGACGCGCAGCCTGAAAGCTAGTCGGGGGCGACTAGTTACCTAGTTCTCCAGCGCATGGGACCAAACTTGTTTTCGAAAAATCAGATCACCCTTGATGGCCTGCTGTGACAAACAGTAGCGGTAAGGCCAGCTCAAACCAAGGAAGCAACACACGGCGTAGGGAAAATAGCCCAGCCACACTGGAAAAGAACCTCCAGTTGTCCCAATCATGTCGCTGCGAAAAGTGCACTCTTGTCCATCCTCATCAATCAAACGGAGCTTCTCTGAAATGTCATGGCTATCATCAGCTGCCTGTGCCCGCACATGCAATTGCTCCCGCTGCTGCTGATGATCCCTATGGGTCCTTTCATCTGCCGCCTCCCACTTGACATCAAAGTGAACTTGAAACAACGGGAAATATCGTAGGCCATACATCACATCACCAGTCACATCTGTCCAGTGTGAGACCCTGAGTGGCTCCAAGAATCGGGCGGTGTCGACACGAACTTCATAGGTCTCTGTATCGATAGTACCATCCTCATTGGTAATAACCTGGGTGCGAGTTTCTATATGGTAGCACTGGGCATTCAGCTCTGGGGCTGGTCGACAGGATTTGATTTTTTTCAATATATTCCAAAATGCTATCTGTCTGCTTCAGGAGCATGAGCCCCTTAGCGGTACGGTTCAACAGCAACGCCTCCAAGAGGTACACGACGTATGAGACCGCCCAAAAACAACGCCGCCGTCTCGTCAGCGTGCGAGGGTTCTTGGAGAGCTTTCGCGGAAAGAGAAGGCAGCGGCCAAGAGCAACGAAAAGAAAGGCACCCACGGCTTGTTTGGTCCTCAAGAAGGTGCGGCTAATCTGAACTGGGGCCCCCGTAGGTTGTGCCTGCAACTGCACATAGCCTCGCGAATCCGGACTTGGTATGCCATCGATCTTGACCACTGTGAGATCGATGCGTCCATCTTCAGCGAAATGTCTGATACACTCATTGCCCTCCACCGCCGCACCCGAAGCGGCAATGAGTTTGAAGGTGTACGGATACAAAGCCAATTCCCGTGCCACGTTGTGCTTCAGCTCCGTTGCTTTGGTACTATACGGGACCTCCATGGTGCATAAGTCCTCACCTCCCAAGCTGGCCAAAACGACCCGGAATGATCGCGCCATTGCCAAAAAGAAACAAAAAAGAAGGCTCTAAAATTAAAAAAGGTGAAACAAATGAATCTTGAGCCAACATGAGCCAGTGCATTGGAATCCATACATATTCCATTATGATCCGAAACATGCATCTGGCCTTTTCTGGCCGGAGAACCCCCCCGAAGCAGCGAAGCAGTGCTGTGACAGCGTTCCCCTCCAAGCCGAGTGTCTCGAAGCGTAGGACATCCGCTGCCTCAGGCACGTGAGACGCACAGAAGGGGCAACCGTCCAACTGCTCCGGCTCTTCATGGATTGGCCTCACCGCGAATGGCGAAGTAGGCTATATAGTGACATGTGGCTGAACCAAACGCACAATACAAATTGTTGCAGCATGTATCAGTATGTTGATCATCAAATAAGCCAAAATGATTGAAGGGCACCGTGCCATACAGTAAAACGAAGAAGCACGGGTCGCCTCATGGGTACTTGCTTGCTTTTGCTTTCGGTTTGCCGGGGCTTCTTCTCGTTCCCAGTGCCGAGCTGAAAGTGTGCCCATTTGCCCGTGAGGATGTCCTAGCAAAAGCAGTCAGGGCAACACAAGCTCCCATGACAAATGCCAAACCTACTTGATCTGAAACTGCCCCAAACGTGCAAAAACGAAACCGCACAATATATTCCATTTGCTGACATCCATCAAAGCATGTGCGGCTCCTGGCGTATGAAGCACATGGAAGGTCTGTGATATCCATCTTTGCTGGTTCTCCGGGCCTCTGCCAGGCATTCCCTGGCTTTAGCTCGTTCAGCGTCTGAGAGGCGCCAAGAGGCCAGGTCCTGTCGAGGCAGGACTCAGAGGCCTGCAATTCCAAAGCTGGGCTGCGGGACGATTGAGGGTAATTGGATGTATTTGGGGTAGTTGGACGTATTTGGGTATGTTTTTGAATCGAGGGACCCCCTGGATCCCCCTGGCTCTGTTCTATTTTCGAACTGGGATGGGATGCCTCCCTATTTTTTTAACACACACCGCTCCGGTCCACGCACCTTGTCATCCTCCGTCCAACACGGCAAGCAGCTGGCCCAAGTCGCCCAACGGGAGTCGCGCGCTTTCTTCCCCTCTGGAGGGCCAAAGCTCTCCATCTCCACGACGGCCGAGACTGGGCAGCGCGGCACTTGGAGAGATCCCTACGTACTTGTTTGATGGACTGTGCTTGTGTCGAGACAGCTTTTAATCCTTATTGGCGGAGCTACAGCGCATGGAACAGATTCCACTCCCAGCCTGCATTCCAACTATCGCCTGGATCTCCCTCAGGCATGCTCGTCAGGCTCCGGGCTCGCACCCGGTACTTAGAGCCATCCTTCATGGCCATGGCGCATGGACGAGGCCAGACTTCATGGTTCTCACCCAAGGAGCTCCCGAATCTGAGACTTATATATATTACTGTATATATAACTTATATAGGTCCGTGTAAGGACCTGTAAGGATTCTTCATTCTGCTCCATGAGAAAGAAGGAAGGATGTGTTGCATCTGCATCCTAGAATGCTTGAACACCACAGGTCGGATGGGGATTGATCCATCTCAAGCAGCCAGTGAATCTGTCGCTCATGCATGTTTGCAGTGTGGCTTTGCAGGTACCTACCTCGACTGAAACTTGCAGCGGCCAAAGAAATCCCAAGCATGCACCAGCCACACCAGCCACTCTTGATCGTGCTTTGCCGGACCCAAAGCCCCACAATGAAACATCTGCATACTGAAGTCCAGACGGCAAACTGAAGTCCAGTTGGAAAATGTGCTCCACAAGACCCTGGACAAATCTGGACTGCCAATGGTTGGTCTATCGCACCTGGATTTACTCCGGCCTGGAGGAACTCATTTTGAGAAGCTGTATGTCAATAGGATCTTCTAGGCTGTCCCGCAGCTTCTGAACCGCACACATTTTGCTCTAAATTGTTTGTATATTGTTAATGTATATAGATATATATATATATAGAAAATCTCTCTTCCCTAGATCTTCTCATGTGTGGTGGCCTCTGGCAGAAGTACATCTGGACGACTTTTAATGACAAGCCTCTGCAGCAGTGTGCCAGAAAACGCAAAAGTCCACTGGGACCCCAACGTGTAAGCGCAACTGAGTGCAAGGGCAGGTCAGCAGTGACGTCGGACAAGTGTTGCACCTCAGGAGGCATTGCAAGCGGGCTCAGGGAGTGCCAATGCCAGGAAAAAAAAAGACACCTCAATGCCCAAACAATATGTTAATATGTCTGGGAAATACTGCTCGCCCACTCAAATTGTACTTTTAGCACTTTTCCGCTACACGGGTTGCCACTCGTCTTGGATTGGCTGTCTTGGCATCCAGCCGCCTCAAGGCCAGCACGTAGTAAGGTATCCTGCCATCGGTTGCGTGCCAAGCGCCGCAGTGAGCAAATGACAGTGCCCTTGAGCCAGGCTAGCCAGACTCTGGGCAACCAATCCCAAGTGGTGATTTCTACATATTGTTGGGAATTGCTGCTAAGAGTTCTGAGGGTACATGGGGCGTGTACTCTAAAAATGGCACGTGACAAAGTCTGTGAGACTCCTGATGTAGCGAAGATGTGAACGTGGAATCCACCTCAGCACACAGTATTCCTTTGCATCTGCATCCCTGATCTGGCAAAGACAAGAACCAAGCGCCATGTAAAAGATCAGGCGATCTCTAGTAATGGCAGTCGGCTGTGCTACAACAGACCACGGTTTTATTTCGCGGCTTGGGAGCGGTTTGGCCGCAACTTGTGACAGCAGGACAGAATGACTTGGAACGAGCAAGTAGTTAAGCAACAACTCTCAAGAAAAGAACGCACAATTGTCATCAACTGTCACGACCTTTATTTCTTAATGTAAAGCAAACGATCTCATGCAAAGCAATTTTTGCTGCACAATCCCTGATCAAGGTTCACTTCTGCCATCTCACCCGGGTCGTAGTGTCGCTCTCATTTCTTGGGCTTCGCCACCAAGAAACTGACCATACAATGCGCAAAGAACGCCGCACCCCATGACAGGGCTGACTGGCAAGTTTGGCTGGAAAGCAGCCTCACAGATCTCACAGCGACACTGCTTATATATACAAATATATATATATAAGCCTGTCCAAAGCTCTGTGTTCGCAAACCTTAACGGCCTCCAACTACATTGCGACAAAAAGACTTCAGGGGTCTGGTCTGAAGTCATTTGGACGAGACTCTTCGCAAGTAAGAGGATGCCAACCAGTCGCATGATAAATCTGCTAGTCGCGGAGTTTTCTGCTCCTGCAGTGCAGAGGCCAAACGTGCTATTGTCTGTAGTTATATAATGTTATATATATATATATTATGCCACCAATAAGCTTAATTGCCCTGTACTGCCCTCCATCCAACAAAACATGAGAGCAGAGAAACCGATAAACCTCCTGTTTGTGGAGGAAGAGGGTCTTTGGAGGTAACATATTCAACTTCTACCATTCTACATGGGAAAGACGGAAGTTATTGTACACCTGTAGCTTGATATCCGTTCGACGCCTCCTTGCAGCTGAATATGAACGAAATCAAGTGACGAGCAAACGAGCACCGAACTGTGGATCGACTAGGCCCAGGTCGGCCCAGGTTGAAAAGCCAATATTGCTAATTTGTTACTCTCAGCGGGCATTGTTACATGTGTGCTCCATGTAGGGACCCGAACCAGCATGTCTGGAAATGGAAGAATTATATACAATTATTCTAAGAGTCCTGCCGAGACCGAGTCCCGATGGTCTTCCCGCTCTTGTTCCATTTTGGACGCAACAGCACCATAACCATTTTGGACCAATCCCTATGGCTGGGCCTGAGCCTGCTTCGCTCTTGGTGGGGATTGCACCTCCAGGGCAAAAGAAGTGCTGCTGAAAACCGTGGCCAATGCACGTTTCATCAGATTCCTACCAGCTTTGTTGGGCTTCCAAAATCCGAACCAAATAATGCCGTTTCTTGGGTTGTCTAGACCACTCTAGTACAGAGATTTCATACTCCTGTGGCTACAGGGGGGTAGATAAGGATATGCACACACAAACAAATAACACTTTTGGCATGCCGCACCAGGGAAGACCAAGGCAGGTGCTTGCTCAAGCAGCGGAGGATCAGGCCAATCAAAGAAAATACTGGTCAGGAAGATCAATGCAAAGAGCAAATATCTGGAGACCAAAGTTGGAACCAAGCTTTCACTGGTGAAAGTGATCGAAAGAAGAATCGCTTGAGCGATGTAGGATTTGGCTAAATTGGACCGTGCTTCGCGTCGAAAGCTAGCAGGAATTGTCGTTGGAAAAGGGAATCTGCGCATGATGCTGCTCAGGAGTGCATGCAACCCAAACCCAACCCACCAAGCCAGTGCAGCTTGGTTCTTCAATGCGAGTAATGTCACTGCGACCAGGAGCATCATTGCACTGTTGGCTGCCCGCACGGTGTAGATCGATCCAGACGATGCGAGCCGTGGTGTGCACCGCGGCTTCGCCACATTGGCTTCGCGCCGGCGACTTGGCGTGAGAACCGATCCGTTGAAGCTTGGGTGATCCACGAAGGTGGTCGAAAGGACGAAGCCACACAGGCACAAAGGCACCCAAAACCGCGCCACGCGCCGCTTGCAAGCCATGTGCGAGCACGGTGAGCCGCACAAAATGTGTGATAATTGATTGATAAATGTTGTTCCTTTACACAGGGCCCTGACTCTTGGATCTTGAAAGCATGGCATGGCTTCTTCTGTTCATTGCTTCCTGACATTTCCTGACTATATATATTATATAAGGCTGAAAGCTTGAACTCGGAGCAGAATTCTTGGTGTTGTGTCACACTATGTAACCAGACCTTTGCTCTGCAGCCCTCGTGCTTTGCCCGTTTCTATGGCTGTAGCAGGTTGGCCTAGAGCCATAGAGCAGCACTGAGCAAACGCAAGGACAGCTGCCATTAATCACGCAGGTCACCCTGTTGGCAGTGGAACATTGACTTCCTCGTGAATTCCCCCATCTCCAACATCCTCAGCTTCCTGACGTTAATGGTGGCCACTTCCACCAAGCGCCATCGATGGGCAAGGCGATCTCCTGTCCGGGCCCAATGCTCCTGCGAGAGCTCACCTGGCGGCATGTCAATCACTATGTGAGCCATGTGGAGATGGACTGTTGCATAGATTTGCGCAGCGGGGCATGACTCATTAGGAGCCAATTTGGTCTCATCTGGTTGCCATCTGTATTGTATTCTGACCAATGGATACACGTGGTTCAAGTGATAGCTCCTGAAATTTGGCATCAACCCTGACTGGCGGTTTCACTGCGTTTCACCGGCCTTCCCAGGTCACCAAGATCACCAGGTCGGCTTCTTCTAGCAACGGCAGCTGTGCTCGCAGCACGCTGCCCGGCCCCACCTCCACCGGGCGACCGCGCTGGCGAGTGCCGCAACCGGCGGTGGCCAGTGCCAGTCCCACGCCTTCCCAGTCAACAGCACGATGCGTCTGGACCAACTCATCGGCCTGTAGACATTCCGTCACTCGGCGTGTCTGGCACAAGTAACTGAGCACCTGGAGGCAGCACATTCGATTTGGGAATGATTAAGGATCTCACCCACGCCAGGAGAGGGGGCCGACCATTCTGGCCAAGCAGCTTCGATTCCTGAGGCCGAAGCAAATATTGAAAATTGAGACCTCTATTCCATGTGACCCGGTGTAAAACAAGCTGCATTCCAAGGCAAGTGCTGGGCACTGATCATCGGCCTGTGCATGAGAGAAGCGCCGTGGTGTTGTTCAATATCTTCAGCGTGTCAGTCAGTCGCCAACTTGGCGAGCATGTCTAGTATCGCCATTTCCCAATCCAATTGCCAATTGCAGCATTTTTTAACATCCCCGTCATGCCTTTGGTCTGGCAATTTTGGGGGAGATTCACATGCAATGCAACCTCATGACAACCATTATCTCATCACAAATCTACAGAGAGAAGGGGTCAAAGACGAGGGGCAACCAAGACTTTCGAGACTTCCCATCAAGGCCCTCTAAGCTCCTTGCATCGCCCAGCGCATCGATGGATCCAATGGCCCCTGGGCAGGTTTTCCATAGGTTTTCCACGCACCAAGGCCCTGTCAACTGCTCAGGCCTTGGGATTGTCATCATAGCTGATGGCCGCATCCCAGACCTCAAATGGCAGGATAATCAAAGAACTGTTGTGAAATCGTCTGCTTGGATGAAAACCAGGTGGTGGCAGGGTGGGGCCTCCACTGACTGTGTTGGTAAAGATTGAAGATGTTGCAGTGGCAAAGGGAATTGGGGCACTCAAATATACAAAGCTCTGCTCCAATCACCAAGGGCCTTTCTGCACGTCTCACACGTCGTGCGAAAATCTGCTCAGCCGCCTGAGCTAAACAAGCACTGCCTCCGCTGCATTGCATGCAAAGGATGGCGACCCTTTCGGGCTGCGGTGGGCATCCATTAGCTGCTTCTCCTGGTGGAACAACGTGTGGTGGTAAAACCCGCTGAAGGAGTTGGTATCTTTGAAGGATTTGCTTCAGGAAGGAATCTGGTTCCAGCATAATATTGATGCTTTTGTCTGCTGGGGACATCCGAGGTATGTGGGGCATCAACACCATTCCGAGCATGTGAAAGGCACTTGGGACGTCCTGAGTAGTCAAGTTCCATGACCACAGATCCAAGTCTTCCTTCAAATGTTCCGAACTGGATGACTTGGTCACCGCTGGGATGCCTGGCGCCGGGCGGGAAGTGAACATCCCATGAAGCCAAGTCAACTGCAGAAAATCTTCACATGCCTGGCAGCTACAGGAGGCAAATCTCTGCTATCTCCGTGCCATATTGGTGTCACGCAGAAGACCCCAAAGACTCACTAGTGCTTTCTAGTCATCCAGTCATCCTCACGCAAAAGAAACTATCCTCCAAAATACACATTGTGACCATCGATTCTTGAATTGCAAAGCCACCGCGTCTGGCCGCCAGCCTTGGGAAATAACCCACTTCAAGGCCACTTGGACTGAAGACTTGTTGTGAGCCTTTCCGATGGATGTTGTGAGGTTGCCGTTCAGAATTTCTGAGCCTGAGCTGCCATGCCAGCTCTTAGCCAGGGCATAGCACAGCTTCTGAGGGGGAACGAAGACCCACACCCAGTATTATACATACAGTACTATGTATTTAGTACATTGTTAATTCACACCGTGCTACTACACGGTACTATATAGAGTATATGATATGCACGCCGAGAACGTGGACCATTGGAAGACGAGGCGGTTCGGGGGGGCGTTGGGGCGGACCACCGGAACGAGCGAAGGCAACAGGTGGAGCACGGCAACAACTCCGGCATCCATCTGCGCCCCGCATTCAAGACCAGGAGCTGGCATGATGGGTCATGGAATTCCCCAGCACAGAGTACGCCTGCAGTTGAATTCCCTTGGCCTTGTGGTAGGACACAAAGCCCTCGGGATCTGTGCCCATGCCGAGGTGAAGTTGCACCTCAGGTGGAGAGTGCTCCAAAGATTGGGCAGATTTTAGATGTGCACCTGCCAACATGCTTCAATCCACCAGGCGAAGCTTGTGGATCGAATCCTGAAGAAGCCCCTATGGCCCATACTTTAAGTGACACTCCCTGCCTGGTTGACCATTGGCAATCGTGTCATCACAGGGTTGGATGACTCTAAGCAGTCATAGCAGCTGGGGCAATAGTTGGACACACCAATGGCACGCGCCTTGCCTTCCGCATAGAACTCATTCATGGCCTTCCACTGTGCTCTGACCATCTGACACCCTCCAGACCAGCTATTGCAGGACCGCGTGATCATCGAGGAAATGGGCGGAAAATGCACGATGACCAGGTCCACATAGGAGAGGTTTAATAGCTTCAAGTCTGTTTCTAAATCTCTCTTTGTAGCTTGGTAGCAATTGAAGACATTCATTGTGCTAGGATCCAGACCACAACCAGGCACTTTGGTCTCCACAAAGATCTTCTCCCGCGGAATTCCTGACTCGGCAATGGCCTTGCCAACCCCGTCCTGACAAGGTTCATGTGTTCGACAACCAGCACGCTGGCGGGTTTACACATCATTTTGCATGTCAACAGGGCCTGTTCAACAGGAGATGTTTATCAAGTACCAGACTGGTTATGGGCGATGCTGCCTCCTGGAAATGTGAAGCCTATATATGGAGCTCTGAATTCACCATTGGAAGACTGATGCAGATTGGATGGCACAGTCCCAGCAGTTCCCCCAGAAAACTTGCACAGTCATTGGTGCAGAATGCGCGCACCTTCCAAAACAACGTGGCCCTATCCATCATCAGGCAGGCTGTCATTCTGGCGTCTATAAACTAAACCTAACAATGGGAAACATGGTCCTGATTGTGGTAATCCAATGCCGTGTCAATCATGGTGAAGCCTGCTTTCAGTGCGGATGTGATGGAACTGTATGCCGTTGAGCTGTTGTACCTCGGCGCAGACAGACCAGTTCAGGACGATTTTCTGGCCTTTCATCATACGAACGCTACACGGAACAAACATGAAAAAGGCACTCCCTACTCAGAGCGGTCTTGTGCCACATCAACAGCAAAATGGTCCAAATATGGCAAACAAATATAAACAAATCATATCGTTGTAGCATCTGCAGCTAGACAGGGGCCTCTCTCCCAAAAAACTACCTGAACGGTCGAACGAGCTCGGTGGAAAGCTTCGAGGTGCTGCCAGCTGCCGGCGGCGACCATCGGCATCTCCACGCCATTCGACAGGGTTACGCTGGGCACGGCCGTTGCCACGGGCCAGGCCACCGCCAAGAGCAGTGATCGCATGGCGGAAGGCCCCGGAGCGAGGATGGACAGGGATGGACTAGATCTGGACAGCTACGAGCACAGAGCATCATGACGGATTCTGCTACAAAACCTACAAGCTATTGTCAAGGACATTCAATCATGCACATCTTGATCATTACTAAGTGCTATGATTCTGTTGTATCAAAGCGTTCCACTTTGTGAGTGGGACTTGCTGATGGACTTCCAGCAGACTGCAGCATGGTGCACACCCAGCTAATAGAGTAAGGTACCGGGCCCTTCCCAAGTTGGCGCGAGAAAGTCGCCCAACCTGTCGGGTAACCAAGTTGAGCACGTAGACGAGGAATAATATGTTGATGGACAACATCCTGCACACCCTGTAAATATATACGTGCAAGTAACCAGGTAAGTACCCATAGAAAAGGATAAATTCTTGTGTTTCAAAGTAGTGAACTGGTTGTGCCGGATGTTGTTCATCAAGAGGAGCTATATACATGGGCAGCTTGGCACCTATGTCTGCAGTGCCCCCCTATGCAAAACCAATTGGCCACTTTGCTGGTTGACAACCTTCTCATGCAACAGGCAGCGTGCGCAGGTCATGTTGGATGTCAGGGTTTCTTAGACAACACAATTGGTCATCAAATAGCCTCATCTTCACAGCTGCCAACAGCAACGGGGACAGCTGATAGGAAGGCGCTGCGCAGCATCCATTCTAAGCTGAAAAGGGCAATGCTAAGGAAACACTCATAATTCAGACTGCCTCGTCTGCTGAAGGTCCACTCAATGAATGATGTGTTGAGCTGCTTGAGTCACGGAAGTTGGCCATGCTTGCGTGGGATCAACCGAGTGTTGAAAATCAGCACTTCTAAACGAGCCAATGGCTTTCATCTTTGCGGCATCGTTGAGAAGAACTAGTGACATGAAAGTGAAACAGCGGTGGACATAAAACAACCTGTCTTTCCAAACCATTCAACCATGCATAAACCATACGGGAATTGCCTTGAAAACTGCCATGTACTACCTGCCTGATGGTCGCTGGGCACATTTGCCAGAAGCACCTCAGGTCTCTCGCCGTGTCTCTGATCATCACGGATTCACGCGTCTCGCGATTGTCCCCCCCTGAATCGGTCTGCGACCTTGAAGCGTTCGAGCTGGAAAGAAGACTCCAAGTCTTCCAGGCCTCAAAGGACAAAGTCTGAGTTGCACCTAGTTGTAACAGTCTTCCAGACCTACTAGGCGACTACTAAATAGGATAAGAGTCCTCAAAGGTTAGCATATTCAAGCATCCTCAAGAGAAAGAGAGAGAGAGAGAGCCCATGTTGCAATGGCTGAAGGCAAAGACTGGTGGAAAGAATCCTCGTTTCGATACGGTGCACCAAGCACCACCAAAAATGATCACCCTCGAAACCCCGGGGTTGACTGCAAACCGAAACGTGTTGAATGGTCAATGGTGAAGTTCAGAATTCCCAGCAAAAGGATCAAGGTGGCTGAAACATAAGAAGACACACCCTTGGAACAGCTTGGAATGGTTTTCAAAAAATGAGCATGGACGTTGTACAGAACAGTACGTTTAAGCCACATAACTTAACTATTAAAAAATAAAGGTCATCGCACGCGCCCGTGGGTTTCAAGTTCAAGACGGCAAGACGCCGACTTTCACTTCTCCAAGCCGCAAGTCAGCACGTAAGTGTGAGCTTTGCTCAGAACTGGAGAATAGAACTTCAGGAATTCCTGAATCTTCTCCCTGCACGCTGATGGCTCTGAACAGAGCTTGGAGACGAAAACTGCTCTGGATGGGGCTGCCATGATGGCGGCTTGAATGACGTTTCGGGTTAGAAAGTTGTGGTGAGGTTTCAGGCTTGCTTCGTAGCCCAGCTGAATACACCGATGGAGGGGCTGTTCTTCATCCTCCAGAAACACCTTCAACGTCTTTTCTAACAAGCGCAAGGCGCGCAAGAGCCACAACAATCCCATGGCCGCACTGCCTTCCTGACAAGCTGCTGCATAATATGAACCTGCTCGTTGCTTTTCGCCATCAATCAACCGTTGTAAGGAGATCTCTTCCTCACCAAGGTGTTGGCGGATCATATGAGCATTCCTCTGCATATCAGCTTGGAAGCTCTGCAGCATCTTCCCAAAGATTTCAAAGACCCGGATCGTGGACAAAGCCGCCTTCACGAAGCCTGAGGCACAAATGCCAGCCATCTGAGATGAGGCCGAGGCCTCCACAGTTCTCTGCCACCCATCAATGGCATCATCCAAGATTGAGGAACCTCCTGGATGACTCGGAAGAGCTTCAGGATAGCCATTACTTCGACAGCTGGAGGCCTCTGTGGCCATGGGGCACTTGGCTACGTCTGAGCCATTGGAGGCGCCTTCCGCATCATTGTCAAGGTCTGATCCCCCTTCTGGAGTGCGGAATCCCTCAGAGACATCATCGAAGAGAGCAGAGAGTTCTGCTACCGCTGCTTCCAAGTTCCTGCAGAGTTCAAGCCATTCAGTTACAAAAGCACATAACGAGACATTCTTTATCAAGGCTCGAGTGGGCTTCAGGAAAAAACTGCCATAACAAATGGGTCAGCTCCTCGCATCTTTGGCAGCATCCTTCCGCATTAGAGATCTAGTGTTTGCAGCATGCCAGGAAGCATGTTCTGAGAGCTTGGTGATGGCGTCTGCAAGTTCCTCCAAAGGCTTTTCAGTCAATCAAGCACTAGTCACTACACATTTCCCATGCCGGATGCAAGTTTTTGCATGATTTTGCAGCATTCCTCTCATGAGACATGGCCCCTCCAGGTGAGCCTGTGAAGTGAGTGACGCCAGGAGCTCTTTGTAGAACTCCTTGCCTGAAAGTCACAGCGCCGAAATCACTTCGTGGCATTCCGCAACTTCATCGTTTATTGAAGGACTATGGGGAAGATTCAAAGAAGAACAACAAATGGGCTGTCATCACCCAGTTCACACTAAGTCTCACTGAATATTACAGTATAAGAACTTAGAGGAAACACCGGCAAGACCTTGAATAGGTGAATAGCATTTGCTAGAAAACCAAGCCTCCAGTTTCTGGATGTTTCTGGCATGACCTGAACAATCTTCCCATGAGCTCCACGCCTCGCAGGTCCTTTTTCGCATCGGCATAGAAGAAGCGGCGCTGGTTGGCCGCGTGCCAGGCACAGCTGAAGCAGAGCGACTCAACGGCCTTGGCGGCCTGCATCTGCTTACACCAACCCGTGCAATCAAAAGAAAGGAGTTTGTCTGTCATTCCCTTGTTTGTCTATCCATCGACACTAGCAACCACACAGTGGAAACAACCCGCTCGAGTGCCTCTTCACCCAGCTCGGTGGTCGCCAGCTGCTGCCGAGCCTCCTCGACGAGGCGACGGTCCCTTTCAGCTGACTGATACAGCAAGCTCCGCTCCTTAGAGAAAAAATAACACCGAGGCGTGACAGTTTTACGCGCTGCAGTCAGCAGGGCGATGAGCGATGGGCGAGATGGAATCAAGGCTTCATGAAGTGCAAGACAGTCAAATCAAACACCACTATGCTGGCTTCAGTGTGTTTGGGCGCCATGCACTGACAGTACACATCTATATATATATATATGTAGAAAAGTCTGTCATAGCTGGCATGCAGACTCCAAGTATCAGGTAGAACGATTCAACGCCTAAGGACTTGTGCGGCTTCGTTTTTGGGCAGGAGCATGTACTACTTACGTAGGTACACTATCATACACTGGCCGGCTTCTGAAAAGGTGGTAATTAGGAACTCTAGACCTTGTCAGCGAGGAATATGATGGAATCTGGAATATGGAACCTGCAGCCCTTTGTAGACTGTTCTGGTGTTTTGCCGGTGGCTTGTTTCAAGCTTTTCGTAACCGTATCACTATGGCCAAGTCAAGACCAACCAAATGGATCATGTGAGTGCAAATGTTCATCCTTACTAATCAACTGTATTGCATATTATCGCAAGTCTGTATGGCAGATGAAACTCTCCTTACACTCACCCCACTGAGTTCCACTGTGTTCCAGTCGACGTAATTCAGTTGCACGCAAAAAGAGGAATGGATGCTTCCGAGATATTCGGAGCACTTCCTCTTCTTTCACTACAAAATGTGCAAAGCATGTCTGGAACCCTAGCGGGTTTCTGGACCAAACCATTGCAGAATGTTGAGCTGAAGGGCATTGGCTGCAGACCACGCTGCATGGACAGCTAACTGCCGGATGGCTTCTCCAGCCATGTCTGCGGTGGAATCACAAGGACGCAAAAAAAAAAACAGTTCATAAGCTTGCTAAAAGCTTGCCTGCTCATCAAAACAAACACGGTTGTGTCTTGGAGGTTGCGTGAGTATGTCGCACAGTCTTGAAGTACTTCAAACATGTTTTGTTGCACGTTCTTTGCCCAACGACTTTGCCGGGAGGGATGAAGGCTGTGAGCCATCCGGTGCCAATTCTGTCTTCCTTCTCTCTGCAACACTGAAACCATCCGAAACATCAGCAAACACGATGATGCCTTGCCCTAAATGCATAGCTGCCGAGCTCTCAAACTGCTGGCAGTCACGTCGAAGCGCAGCAGGGTACGAATAGCACCCGGGCACCTTGACCACAGGCACTGTTTTACTTAGCATGCTGAGACGTTGTATTGTCACTCCTCAAGTTGTTTAGAAGTTGGGCTCGTCGGGTTGTCTCAAGCTTCCAGCTGCAGTTTCAAGTGGCGTTTGCACCTGCAGGACGCATGTACCCCAGACCGATCTATGTCTCATGTTTGACAGCTATGTGATGCTATGCTTAAATTCTCAGCAGCCAGCTGGTGCAAGAAGTGCGAGATATCTTCAAGATCCATGCCCAACCTAAGCAAGTGAACTAGTACTGTATCCCATGATCTCCTCGTCCGGCACGAGTGTAAGCTGCTGGCAGCTGGTCTTCCAAGACTGCCAGCAAGCTTACGCCTTTCTGCAGCACCCATGGAGCTAACATGATCTATCAGGGTGCAGTTCGATGCCATCCATCAGCCCACGCATGCCCACGCCTATCCGGAAGACCGCCTGTCAACAGCACGGTTGCGTTTGTGCCGTTTGAGTT